TCAGCGGATTTGGGGTGTACTCAGCAAGCACAGTACAGCCCCCAACTCAGATTTGAAAAAAAATCAGTGGATGGTTGTTTTCTGACTGGTCGGCAGACCGCCGACCGGTTGGCCCTGCTGGTCGGCTGCAATACGGTCGGCGGTCGGCAGGTATGCAACCATGTATATATATAAAATCCATATATAAACACTTCACCCTCGGTATGTCTGGGGAGAGAGCGAGAGCGAGAGCGAGAGAGAGAGAGAGAGAGAGAGAGAGAGAGAGAGAGAGAGAGGGGTTGCGGACTTAGGGGTGCCGGATAAGACCCGAGGACGCACTCCTGATGAAGGACATGGATGGTTTTTCCCTGCTTGCAATACCCTGGAAGTGAGCCTCAGTGAGGTCGGTTTTAATATTACCTTGAGACGGAGGTGGGCCCACAGAAGCCCACTACCTTGCGAGGGTGGTGGTCCCACAAAACCCCCTACCTGGGAGGAAGGCGGGCCCACAAAAACCTCATTACCTTGGGAGGGCGGCGGGCCCAACAAAGCCCCTTATCTCTCTGCTTTGGGAGGTACGTGGGGCCCACAAAAAGCCCTAAATTTGGCTGGGCCCAGGAAACCCCCCAACACAGCCCCTTTCCTTATGTGTTTAGTTGGCCAACGAAAGCCCACTTCCTTGACAGGGAGGGACAACCACAAAGGAGGGCCCATTTACCCGGCCACCCACAGAGGAGGGCCCTTTAACTAGGGCACCCACAAAGGAATGGCCCATGTACTAGGTTCTACTTACCCCAACTTCTTCCCTCGATGTCAGCAACCCCTCTGCTTCATAGAAGTGAACAGATAGTGTCCCTTGGTTATCACCATCTCTGGCTTCCTGCAAAATTAATGATATTTAATGAAATAAATTCAAATAATTGATTAACGAAATTAATTAAATCAATGAAATCACTAAATTATTAGTAAAATAATGATTCATTCAAAATTTATGAAATTAATGAAATCAATGACAATTATGACATCAATGATATTTTATGAAATTTAACTATATTTAATGAATTCAATGAAATCCATTCAGTTAATGAAATACTATTCAGAAATAGTCATAACTTGCTAACTCAAACAGGGCAATTTATTTTTTTTCTTCGGGGGGGGGTAAGAAAACAAGCAAAGGGGTGAAAGGGAGGCACCTCACAGTCAAAAAGTTAAAGAAAAAGAAAATAGGCAAAAATTAAGGCAGGCAGGAAAATTCTAGGAGTCTAGGAAAGGAAAGGATTCGAAGAAGACAGCAGCCCGGCAAGACTGCCTCCGCATAAGCACGGAACTTAATTGATTCACCCTTTCAACATCTTCCGCAACGCATGCTCACAAAGGAAACCAAGACGAACACAAGCAGAGGAACATAAAGGAAAAAACAGTACACCAAGTCCTCAAGGTAATACGTTCGCAAAGAACTGATACAACCAGCGCGGTCGATCCCCGATGCGTTTCGTCCGTCCCACTTACGGACTCTTCAGCGGGAGAAGACTGTCAATACTACCACAAGGATCATGGAGGCCATACCACGACCTTGCCTCCAATATATAGCTACCCCACACACGAGGGCAGACACACGGGGCAGACAAAATGAGCGTGCAGACAAAATGAGCGTGCATCAAATAGACGCACCCGTCATGGCACAAGCACACTCCATCTTACGAGACCTAGAAACCAGTGCAGCCAGCGCATAACACAACCGTTGGTGCACGATGTCGGACGATCAGCCCCTGCTGGGCAGAATCAGACGACAAAGTACGAAATCCGCAAATACCAGGGCTGCGCGATAGCATAAGACATGAAGGAGAGCACCATCCTTCTCGCAGCACACAATTTGAGCACAGGACGCACTAGACTCGAGCACCCACCGCCTGCTGCCATTGCTGTTCCTTCCCTTCCCTGCCGCGCAGCCAGCGCACAGCACAACCGCCGGCGCATGTCGTCGGGCGCTCAGGAAATGAGGCCGAGTATCTGATTCATAGCCAATCCTTCTGTCGAATTTATGACAAAATCAATATTTGTTTCTTTCGAAGACATAAAATGGAAATTGGAATTCAAATAGACTAAGACCACCGATAGAGTGCCTTCGACTTTTAACTGCTTGCACCCTACACCACCCCGAAGAGGCAGCTAAGAGAAACTTGCAAGGTTCCCGAAAAAAGGTCAAGCTCCTTTTCACACCTACGCAGGAGAAAAACGCCCCCAAAGCCTAAAAAATCTATCACATACATCAGAACTGAAAGCTTGATGGCAGAATAGAGAAAATCCACAGAGGTCAGGCGGGAATCAAACCACCCAGTTTCAGATGCTCAGTACCCAGGACCCGCTCTTAGACAGAAAAACTGTCAGGTTCCTCAGAAAGGAAAAACAGGGCTAGGCAGTTCAAGAAATCCCTATTCCCACACATATATGCGCAGGTCAACAGAACACAGCCCCGTGGGCAAGCAAAACAGGAGCCAGCATAGCTATAGCCAATAAGTCGTCCTACCGTCTTCACCCGAATACAACGCCCGGTCATTATAGCTGTATCTGGACTGAAAATTGCACCAGATACAGCCATAATGACTGGGCATTCTATTCGGGGGTGAAGACGGTAGTGTGACTACTGGCTCAATCCAGCAGAAGGTGCAACTCACCATTTATCACCAAGAAAACGGACCAACCTTTTTTTTTTTTTCCCTTTTCTTTTCCTTTTTTCTGAACTTTCTTTTTTTTTTTCGCTTTCTTTTCCACCCTTTTTAACCCAAAAGGGCCCAAACGGGGCTTACCAATTTGGACCAGTTTTTTTTTTTTTTCCGCATTTAAAAACTACCACGTGAAGGAAACTTTTTTTTTTTTTTTTTTTTTTTTTTTTTTTTGTTTTGTTTTGGTGAATTGAGTTAATTGACAAAGTTCAGAAACATCCCATTGCGAGGATCTGGGTCCTCGGCAGGCCTAGGGGCCCCTGTTGCATATGTGCCCGCCCTAAGTGAAGGCCGGCCTAACAAATGACGAGAGGCCCTTCGCGTCACTTCCGTATTTGGGGTCCAGACAGTTGCGACGCGCCAGTTGGTTGAAGGAAACACAGGCCGAGCAGCAAGGAAATAACACGGCCTCCAGGCCTATGCGGAAATGCAGACCCTGGGCGATAAATCGCAGCCTCATACACAGACAGTTGGGTGGCCCAACCAAATGAGACCCAGTAGCTGCAACAGAGGCGCAGCGTCCTGGGGCCTACCGGAAGTTCTGGGCTGAGGCCTAGGCCAGCCAGGCTGCCGATCGAGGCAGGCTTTTTTCGCTGCCTGGGCTGGCATTCGGGCACTTGCATGCTAGCGGCAGTGCTGCTGGCGCAGACGCTCGTGGGCTGCGGCTGGCGCTGAGAGGCAAAGTGCAAGCACGTGCGGTCGTGTGTGAGCAAGGGCGCTGCTGAGGGCAGCGCCATAGCCCAGCCTCCATAGCTGGATGGGCTTGGACTACAGTGAGGCGCATGGGTGGTCTTCAGGTGTACAGAGGGAAGATTTGGATGTAAGACGAGGGAGAAAGAGAAGGATAATGATGATGATGATGATGTGAGGGCACATACCTGGTATTGGGGATGGTCTGCTGCGGGCGATATCTTCAAGTACTTCGTTGGCTGCTGACGTCAACACTTGCATTGTCAATTAGTAGGCTAGTAGTAGCTGTGCAAGGAGTAGGCTGGGCGCCGAGCGCCGAGTATGGCGAAGGGCCTGGATACATATGTTGGTGGTGGCGAGAGCAAGCTCTCATTGACATTGGTTTTCAGTGTTACCACTCTCCATTGGGGTCATATTGGTGCAATGCTGCTTTCTGAACACTGTGCTACGGTCTGGCTTTCAATGTGATTGTGCAATCTGAATATTGTCATCTCACTATTGCTCATTTCCTTGCACAATTAAACCACTTTTTTTTTTCTTTTTTTTTTTTCGTTGGTGACTATAATTTTTCAAATTACAAAAGTTTGTCCAAAAATGAAAATTGTATGTAATGGGCATTGAAGGAGCGCTGGTACTGATGGGCCTACCATCTTCACCCAAATAGAACGCCCGGTCATTATAGCTGCATTTGGCCCAACTTTCAGTCCACATGGAGCGATAATGACCGGGCGTTGCGTTCTGTTCGGGTGACGACGGTAGATCCGTTGGTACACCAGTGACCTGTTGAAATACAGACCCAAATTCGAACTCCAGGGCCGAGGTCCCACAAGCAAAGAGGATAGGATCAAGCTCATGAATCTGGATGTGTTTTATGCAGAGGTGCAGAAAAGCAGTTCAATCTCAATTTCCTGGACCTCTCCACAATTACTTCCAGATTCGGCCATTCGATCCGAACCTCTATGCTAGTGGGACCACACCCCAGATGGAACTAAATGAACGAAATTTGTGAATTACCAGGGCCTAGATATCTCAAGGTTATCGCTCTTAAAAAAAAAAGAAGTTGGCATCGGGTATTTTCAAAAAAGTGTTTGCCTACCACGATTCCCGGAATAGACGATACTCACAATATGACTGTCACTGGACTAGAAGGTGGACCAAATACAGCCTAAATGACCTAGCATTTTATTTCGTTGGCGAAAATGGCAGTGGACACAAACTGCCCTCCCAGTCACTGGCAGTCAGTCAGAATGAGAAAATTAAGAACGAATAATGAAGGGTCAACCCGTCAAAAACAAACAAACAAAAAAAAGATGGTTCAACGGCAGCCAAGTGCACAAAGTAACAACAAATGGAATGTGATTTAAAAAAAAAAAAAAAAAAAAAAAAAAA